ACATTAGACATTCCATTCGCAAAAGCGGAATCTATCTCTTCAAAAGCCATGCAAACCGTTCTGCTGCTCTAGCACCTTCCCAACCCACTGAGAAACCTGCAGTGGTTTAATGATTTATTTATTTACGTCAAAAACAGTTAAAAAACTGTGCGTGACGTGCTATGGGGAGAAGTTAATTTGAAGTTGTATATATGACCAGACGCAAAACAAGGGGCCATCTCAGCATTGCTCGAGGATAAGGGAAACTGGACGAAAACCAGATCGAGATGGGGGTCATTGACCCAGAAGCTGAAGTACAGTACTTGTTACAGGTTCTTTACAATTATACAATCCAAATGGTATAAAATACATTAAATATGATTGTAAAAATTAATATTACTTTCCTTTTGTATGCTCGGTATAGTCTCTAATTGTATAAAAACAGTAGTAAAAAATAATGTGGTAGAAAATAATGTGGAAAACGGCAACATTTGTGAGTTAATAAAACTGCCAACTATCAGAATACCAAAGACCACAAACAAGAAAGACCATTAAGCCAAAACACCAACTCCTCCTGAAGAAAAGAGGACTATAAAATGAGGAAGACGAAAGAAATTCGCGAGATGTGACCTTTCTGGTACTTTTGGATCTGCTGCGTCTTCAAATAAGAGGTGTGATGACTGGCTGTGTGCTAAACGCATGGGACCTTACGATCACACGTTTCATGTAAATTCCAGAGAGACACAATTGAAGAAGAATTAGAGACATTCATGGGCGACATACTGATGACTCAGATTTAGATTAAAAATATTGCCTATTAATGTGATCTATATGTTGTTAGGCGTTTTGTTGGTGGGGAAAGTGATTTTTGTGTATCACCGTTATACCTATATATTTACGTCAAAAAAATAACCTATAACCTATAAAAATATAGGTGTTGTGGTGCGTTATCGTTGGCATTTCTAATAATATAATTATATGCAGCATCATCAGCAGACAACGGATAATGATGGCTAAGCCATCGAAAGCTGCTCTTGTAATAAATAATATTGTTGGCAAGGACGACGCATATAATTATTTTCCCTATAAAAATAACCTTTTTCTATCACCAAATACCTTACAAAAAAATTACAAAAAAAATTAAACAGCAAATATTTCTTAAAAGATTGTAAATACAATTCTATAATAGGTAGCATTTACTTATAAGATGTTATATTGTATGACTTGAAACTAAACGACAATTTGTAACTAACTGTTTCAGACTTATTGAAACATTTCTAAGAAATATCACCATATTGCCTTACTTTACCCAACAATTTTTAAAATTTTAATATTTTTTGTCCTGTTTAGAAAATATATATATGCTTTTATGAAGACGATTTTCTCAAAAACAGCAATGTTTTTCTTTAAACTTCTTGTACTGATAGTGTTAAATCCACTAAATAACATCACTTAAACTACTTTTTGATGTATGTGTTTTAATTTTCAAAAATTACATAAATGTAAAACTTCAAAATATCTGTCGCGTGCTTAAATTGTGGATTATAGATGTATTTTATTGTTATCCATCACGTTAATTGAAATATTCTCTAAATATTTTATCTTAGAACATTTTGTCAAATGTATTTATTGCCGAAAATGTTCATTTCTGTGACTTTGTCCGTTAAATATTTGACCGAAGGTCTGCAAATAAATTGGTTAGTAGGGCAAGAATCTTGCATAGCAATGGATTTATTTTCACTACATCAAATATATGACCATAGCATCATGACCCAACAAATTTCTGAGATTAATTTTAGTGCAGTGGATCAGGCATGGAATAATGACAGAATAATTTAGTTTGGTATATTTGTCCTCGTACTTAAATACATGCGTAGTGACTATTTCAAGTGCATTATGAATAATCATGGAAACTGAAATAGGTTTGAGTGGGGTTTTTGGTTGCAAATAGAATATTGAGAATGTTGCAGTGCACCGCATACCTACCTCAGCATTTAAGTCTCCTAAACAGAAACCGCTAAGTCGATGACAAATGTAAGTCGTGACATCTTCACAGTGAACGATGAAGGAATATTTCGCGTTCATGATTTTAATCGTTAGAAGTTCGTTTGTGATTGGGATTGTGTGTTTGTTAATATCAGTGAATGTATTTCCATGGTTTAAATGCTTGATGTAAAATATCAAAATTTGTGAAGTATGATTATATCACACCAGTTAAGTTATCATTCAATAAAACTCAGTCATGTAAGAAAAATTGTGCGTTCAGTCATGTGCGTTCGGGAGAAATTAAAAGGACTTTTTACAAAGATACGAGACGAATTGAATTAAATCAGGTGAAGAACACATTAGAGCCAATTCTGAGTATTTTGAAACAACTTGTAAACCCTCGTTCTTTTTTATGATTATGAAACAACACAATGTAATTTCTATTAAAATATAGCCTAAGATATTGGATTCACTTACACTAACATACTTGAGTTTTAAAATGAACAGTAATTTAAATATGCGTTTATAATAAGCTATATCTATATTGGGAAGCTATTCCACGTATCTTTACGTGCCAGGAAAGCCGGTAAATGAAATTGTGACAGGTGAAGCAAACTCGGCAATTTGGTAAGCCATCTACTTTTCTTATTTTATTCTGTTCTAAATGAAATTATTAGATTGTGATCACTTATGATCATGAAGTTGCGATTTAAAAGGAAATAAATCAGTAAAATAAAAGAAATTAGTTCTTCAAATAAGATCACGTATATTTTTTTGATAAAACGGGTAGTTTTTACATAATGTTTGCTTGAAGTAAATACCATTATATTTTTTTCTCAAAAACTGCTCCAATTTGCTTTCTTTAATTTTTTATACGCACTTACAAATGACGCAGGTCTCATTTTTCTTTAACTGTCTAAATTTTGGGGAAAATGGAAATAATGCGAGAAAGCATGTGTTTTTGGAGCGCCACTAGTTAGTAATTTATTACAGAAGACGATAAAGAGATTCTTTATTTACGATAGGAAGGTATTACTTCACGAGCAACGATATGATCCTTCATGAGAAGACTCAGTACCTTAACCGCCTGGTGTAGTATTTGATTTAATTTTACTTCCATTTGCAGTAAAATACAAAATGAAAATGTTAAAATACGCGAGGGTAAATGATTTGCTGTGTAGATACCAAGAGCGCGAGCACCACCGGTCATAGCGCCCAGAAGGGTAAAATTATAATACCCGAATGTTATTAAGAATATTGTAGCAGCATATTATTGCCCATAAAGAAGCGTCTGCAACCTTATGTATAAAAGAAATAATGTAAATTACAACTGTTCTCGTGATTTTCTAATGTAAACCAGCAGTGCTTGCACATGACATATTCATATTTTTTTGTAATGGGATAAATAAAATGACAAAAAATATTGTAAATCGTGTACTTCTAATACTTGAGCTCTCCTTTCGTCAAACTGCTTAGAACTACTGAGTTTACTTTCTAATATATTCTTAAACTCATTTTTAAGTAAAATTGACTTTTTGTTGTATATTTCGCTATTAATGTGCTTGAAAACTCTGTATATACGAGCATTTATATGAAGTATATTTAACAACATTCGCTGCAAAAGTATTGTTGCTTTTAACCCTCTTTCCAGTAAACTGGAATCGTTCATCAGGTTACATGAAAAGCTCCCAAAAAATTAAAAGACGTGGCCTCAAGTTCGTTCACTTCGTGCAGAACTGGGAAGTATCTCTTTTCAGGGGAATCCAGTATACGTTCGAGACGCGAGTGCGGTTCACAGAGAAACGAGAGAATTGTGTATTTCTTTATACTACGTATACTAACAAAAATTAACAAATAATCATTGCCACTTCCGCCAAATTTATCAATTTCAGGTGCATATTTCCCGATCTTCCGTTTTGTCGAGGAGGACTTTGTGTTTTGTTAACGTCATAACAGAATACGTACGTTAGTGTGGATCACTTGGTTTTAGCACCAAGCGCATTGGGAGGACGACTGACTTTTACTATAAATCCTGCATGCACCATTATGCACGTGGTTGGTTAACTAGAAGTAATGCAATGTTCAATTGATCTTCCTGCTATCCAAATACAGAAAGGATATTTTCACATTTTTCATAGCATTAAGTGATTTTCTCAAGTATGAAATTATATGACTAAATTTAGGCTTGCTCTCCAGGAAGATGTAAGAGCAACAAATATAGTCCAATAAATTACTCGCATGTATGATAATTTGTAAGATGCTTTACCTTCACCTTCGAACTATCTTACTTGATTAATTGTAAACAGGAGGCGGGAACCGTGGCCCACTCCAGAGGCACGCCCCGATCGCGAAAGCAGGTCGCCGCCAGGATACACCATTCCATGAATTTTTACGACCTCCGACAACCACTACCGTTCCAATTTCATTTTCTTTCCTTCCGGAGGTCGCGTGCGGCCGACCTCTTTGTCTCGGCGTGAAAAATGTATTTAAATATTGTTTTATTCTACCGACGTTGATTACTCGCGTAACGGAAGAAACGTTTAAATGACGTCGTAAGCTTCCGCGGCCAGTCATGTGCATGATCTTGGCTGTCCGAGAGACGCCGGGTCGAAGGCTGTGTTGCCGACGTTTCGACCATCTTGTCGTGGTCTTCCTCAGGGCTGGTATGCCGAAGAAACGTTTTGAGAAGTGAGAAAAAATACGTGAATCTTTGGTCAACAGCTGCATTAGTCAAGAATTGCCACAATTGTGAGTGTTATAGATTCAGCAAATTAGAACATTCATATAGTATTTCTCAAATTAATTGCATCTTGAAGTCTATGAGCGTGTATTGAAGTTATGTAAGGGTTGCTCGGTATCTTTCGTGGGAATGATGATCGACTGTATATTTTCCGATATGTGACGAGTACTAATCAGAGAAGCTTACACGTCTCTAAGGGTTTGGTAAAGGTGTTCGAGAAACGAAGTCGTTGGCGTGTTCGAGAAACGCTCGTAAGGGAGAGTGGAAGAACCCATTGAAATCGAAACATTAACCGCGTTGTTTTAATACTTTCATTAATGTTAGCATACTTTTAATGATACTTGCGTAGAGTTTCTTGGAAATAGATACTTTTCCAGATGACTTAACGAACAATTTCTGCGTAAACTATTCATCCAAATGTGCATATGAAATCAGTATTAGCCAAAAAGCAATATAAGATCTCTTGTGGCTTTTTCTAGATAGCTAAATAATAAACTTTAGAAAATTAACTTAATTTACAAATTCTACTACTGTGATATACAATAACTTCACAAGTGGTACTTATAGTTGAAAAAATAATATGGACTTATAAATACAGTTCAAATTATCAAATGTATATTTCGTTTTTCTGCACTTATATCAGTTTACCTTTCCCATAAAATTTTCATTATCTTAAAGACAAAAATTCAATTAAAAAGGAACGACCTAGACATGCAGACGCACTTTAGGCTCAAGCTTATATAATTATTTCTCGCCTATCTTTTTCCTACTGTCTGACAGCTTCTAAACACTGTTCACTTATTTTTACTATGATTAACACTACTATTTATCGCAATATTGTAAGACGAGAGCTCGAATATCAATGTGCCAATTCTCGGCAACATTCTCATGATGACTTGTTTGCGTAAATAAAAAGAATCGTCCAACATCATAGTTTTTTAGAATAAAAATCCATGTTCTTCACAATTATGTTTCCACTCATACCTTGTCGTATTAATTATCTTCTCACCAAGGTTCGTTGTTAAGCTGGAATGAAGGAATGGAAAATGGAAGGTGTGAGCATTATTTTATCACACAAAGCTTTACAGTACAGCAGAGCAAGCGTTACAACATGAAATGTACCACATGTGCAAAGCGTGAAGTGCGAATGGCGTTACTGCGTCTGCAAAGCGATTAGAGGCTGGGCGTGACATTATGGCTTTGCCGGTGTGTCGCCGCCGCAAGGGCCATGGCGCCAGGAGCGGTGGCGGCGGCTGGAACTGACCTTTCCATTGTGCACTGCGGCGGGGGAGGCAACGTTGCCGCTCCTAACAGCTCATGGAATTTACCGAGCAGAGGTCGTAAATCTAAGCATTTCATTAAAAACTCAACTGCAATGAAACTCATGGGCGAATCCAAAAGAGGGTTACCACAGCGGCATTTCTTGTTCCCTGATTACGTTCTATCACCGAGAAACAGCAATGACGTTTTCTCATGTATTTCACAAAGAGATCCTTTTTATATGATCCCAAAGTTGATGGATTCTTTTACCAACTATGACTAATTTGTCAACATTTTATATTTACACCATTGGAAGAAAGTAAAGTCTGCAGAATACATTTTTCATTTTAATCAATATACTTAATTTACAATTAAATTTCTCGTACAAAATCTCACTTTAAGCGTTTAAAGTATCTCTTTCTACGATAATTTTTCTTTCATTGAACAGACATTGGAATCACTTTAAGTGTTTCATAGGATAATAAATAAAAAATAAAACACTGAAGCTAAAACGTGTTCTAATGTCTATTGTAAAGCAAATATTGGTACTATTTTTGTTCCAATACCTAAAATATTGATTTTTTTTAAATATATGATTTGAAGCATATGGTGTACTTAAACTGAAGATCTCAATGCGAAATACAGGGAAGGGTTGTCGAATCCCTCTTTTGTAGGCTGCACCCATTTTCGCGGCGTTTCTCCCCCACTGGTGCAGTGCAGCGCTATCCACCGCTCCGTCGAGTGGCGATCTTTGACTGAGAGTCGAAGTCCACTGTCCGCACTGTCACTGGGAGAGTTCTTCGTTTGGCAGCGAGGCGCTCTGACTGCCCGACGGCAACGGCGCCGTCGCCTCCTCTTCTGAAGGCGTCTTCCGCCCCGCGGAGCCCAGTGCAAAGCCAGTGCAACGCGTGCGGGGGGGCGTGCTCTGCAAATACACTAACTGAAGGTTAAGTACACAGTTGTCAGAGCACACACAACACAGGTCACAAATGCACCAACGGATCATGGCAGGAAACAAATCTATTCAACATTATTTCAGTGATTTTTTTACAGATTTAGTATAGGTATACGCTTTCGCAACATATTTGATTCGATTATTTCGTTTTATTATTATATACACATCAATTTTTTTTCAAATGTACCAATAAAGCAAGTTTTAGTGAAGTTGGCCAAGTGACGGAGTAGTAATCAATTTCAAACAAAATTTTTGAAGAAATTCCTGATTTCTTTTTTGAACAAAGAATTAAAAGAAAGTGTAGTATATTCCTTCATTATTGACGTTGTGATGATTTCCTCATAATAGATTTGTCACGGCCATAAAAGTATTTTAAAAATATGCTAATGCATCCCCGCACGTACCTGCTGACGTAATTAGTAACTAAAGGCAACCGGTAGCAAGTTGAGTGAATGTGCTGCGCCTCACCTGAAGACGACGAGCGCCCCCGCGCGGGCCCCGGGGCTGCCCGCGGAGCCCGTCGGGCCCGACATGGTGCGTGCCCGCCTCGGCCTCCACGCTCGCCTCCACGCCGCACGCTCGCTCGCCCCCGCGCTCGCGCCGCCCGCCACCGACTGACCACGCGGGCCCTCGCGCCGCGCCGCCGGCGCCCCCCGCCGCTTCCGCTCCGCTCGGCTCCGCTCGGCTCGGCACGGCACGGCAACGGCACGGCACGGCACGGCACGGCACGGCACGGCTATGCGTCACGGCACCCCACCCCGACCCGATCCGCCACCGCGCTCGCGCCCCGCCGCCCCCGTTGCGTTCGCTAAATATAGCGCCGCCCTGCTCCGCCCGCACGCGCCGCCGCGCCACGCGCCGGTGCCGAACGTCTGGCGGAAATATCGCCCATGCGGGGAAAAGGCGCCAGGGGGCAGGCAGGCAGGCGGGCGGGCCTTGGGCTAATCAACCCGTGACCTTCCCCTGTCGCCCCTTAGCCCCGTGAAGAATTGCATTTTGCGGGGCTCTTGACACATTCAAAGAACGCGTACGTTACTAGTTTTCTACGAACATCATACCACTGATAAGAAGCGCAGAAGCGACATCCGGCCCTTTTTTGACGTTCCATCCCACATATTTTTCCAAAGTACAGTTGAAGCCATGCATGCTCTACCGTTTGTTAACTGCGATAATTCAAATAACAGAACAAAACGAATTGATAATGATAATAATTATTATAGTAATTTCATGAAAGGTAACTTTTTCAGTTTTAGTTTAGAAGAACCTTTTTTCCTACGACTTCCTTGTTTTTTTGTTCGATTTTCAATATTTCAAAGGAAGATTATAGTTTATCTTTTTAATATTATTTTGAAATAATAAGTATTGCCAATGCTGCTTAACATTCTTTAATTAGTTTTTTATAGAAAAAAACTTTTTTCCCTTACACACCACTTGCCTTCATCCAAAGCTTCTCAGTAACGCGTCAATTACTAAATTAATCACTGTAGATTAATAATTTCAATTTTTACACCAAAATCTAAGAATGAAAACATTTGTGAATATGAATTTTTCACTGAGAACATTTTTATCAGTTTTTACTATTGTTTTTACTTTTCGCCTTACTTCGTAAGAAGAGAAGTAATTGTACGACGGAAATGGTGTTGTTTTTTTTCACAGAAAACCTCTTATTGCCGGGGCCTTGTAACGACAATGGATACGAAGTGGATAACTCTTATTCCTATATGTAGTAAATTACATCCCCTAATTCATTTTATAGTCGGAATCCATGCTTTGTGGTCTGTTGATACCGAAAAATCGATTGATGGTAAAACATCTGTCTGGTCATCTGTCTGTGGTAAACGCCAGCGCCTAATCCCTTCTTCTCGTATGTATCAAAAGACGGTAAAAAAGTAATACTAGTCTCATTTTACGGCGAAAATACTGTATTTTTACAAATTGCAAAAAAAAATACAAAAATTAACGTTCTAAAACTGCAATATTGAAAAAAGATATTATTACCTTGAACAAAATGTTCTGAAACATTAGATCTTTAAAAAATGTCATGTATTGTCCCCCCACAGTATCTGGCGGGTGAAATTCTATCTTCCCAACCGTTCAGACAAACTTGTACACCCCTCGATCCGGGAAAGGGGCACGTTGACCAATCGCTACTGTCAGAACCTTAGTGATTATGTGATGGGAGCAAATGCAAATGGGGCAGGAAAGGCGCTGTTCCCGGGGGTAGGGGCCTAGATTATTTACGAATAAGGCGGAAATATAATATTTTCCTGTCGAAGGAGAGATTTTGCCTCCGCGTACGCCATAACGAACAAAATATATCTGAGCAGAAAATGTTTTTTTTTATTATGGCGTAGGTGCAGGAAAATCTCTCCTTCGGTAGCGAAAGATGACGATATTTCCGCCTCATACGTAACTGAACAGTTAGGATATTAAATTGTTACCCGCCAGTTATTGTAGGGGGAACTTTACAATTATTTTTCGCGTCGCTCAGAGCTTACTTTTTGTTGAACACTTTGAATTTTCGGAAATCACGAAAGTTAAAAATAAAGCCAGAATATATGGGCTGCTGTACCATTTGTTACTTTATCGTACACTACTTTGTAGTACAAAGAAAGTTGTTTAATACTGCAGATAAAAAGACAATTTTTCTACAGAAACATGTTGGTAACTGTTACTGAAATAGTGAATAAACCTTGATCTTCTATACTGTAAATTAATTTCTTACTGATACGTTATTGCTTTTTATTGTCTGCGATACACGCTGCTTAACTTTCCTGGTTCGAGAGGACCGTGGTTTAGAGGGAAATAAAATGATGAAATGTTGAAAGATGCTACATGTTCTCTTATGGAGGGAGTTGTGAGAGTGAATTATGAAAGGGAGGGAAATATGAAAAGACCAACAGAGACAAGTTAACATTTAGTTAATCTAGTAAATAAATAAATTAAATCAATAAAATTAAGTAAAAACAAAAATTATGAATGTACCTCGGACGTTAATGGTTCTAATGAACGACTCGACCACAACCCGAAAGCCTTTGCGCCGAGGTTTGTCGCCCCGATCATTGAAACCTTATAACCTTCGTGCACTAAATAATATCTCTACACGCATATGTAGTTAGAATCTATAGATTCTTGATTCCCCAAAAATTGTTTCACAGGAAAACGGCTGTCAGTCCATCGGCGAACACCGCTAGCGGCTAAATCTTGCAGAATTTTGACCAAAATTAATATTACTCGATCGATGGCTGATGTCATGGCCCTTTGCATCTGAAAAGAATTCTGACCTGAAAGTCCATTGTAATATCAAAAAAATATTTTTTCTCAAAATATAATTCAAAATTTCTTCTTCTAAATTTCTAAAATAATTCAAACTAAAAAAATCTTCGATTTCCGATTTTGTTGATCCTAAAAATTCTACAAACCCTAAATTTTCACAAAAAAACGTCCAGTGTGCCAAACTGGAACTTTATGGGTGATTACGAAAAAGTATAGGTGATTGAAGTTGGAATTTATTGACAAAAAATCCATTTTCTAAATTGTGTACTTATTTTTCACAAATTTTAAGAATCAACATTTCTATATCAACCTTTTTATATTATAGTTGAAGCAACAATATTTCTAATTATATATTTTATATAATTAATACTAATATAAATACACCGTATACTGGGATGACTTGATAACTTGTGGGGTGCCTTGAGGACATACCCTAATATCTTATTTCAGATGACGTCATTGCTACAGCAAATGAAATAGAGCTGTGATTCCTAAACGAAATATACCTAAATTTCTAGCCACAGCCGCTATAATGAGCCTCCACGAATAAAAGAGATTCTCAGACATCTCAAATATATCGCCCTTTTCCCTGCCTACTTTTACCATAAACTGTGTTTCAAGGTTTCAAGAAAGTACTGAAAAACTTTGTGTACAGTACTTACTAGTTACATATTCTAGTTTTGAAGTTATTTTGCTTTAGTAAGTACATATATTGTGGTGGTTGAGAGTGATAAATTATGTAATTTGTTTTTGTTTAGTAGTTGTTAATTTATTAGTGAAATGTTGGATATTTGTGAGGTGACGTGAGGAGAGTGTTTTACATTCATTACCAGGCACACATAGTTAACAGATGCCACGAACATTCAAGAAAAATAAAAATAAAAAAGAAATGCACATAAGAGACGGTTCAGAAGGGAATCACCCAGATTTTTCTCAACCTATCCAGGAGGGATAAACCCACAAAAATTGGGATCTTCAACTCTTCATATTTGGAAATAGAAACGGGATTTAGAAATGGTAGAAAATGATCAAGTGCAAATGTATTTCAACGAATTTCAGATCGAAATATTGTGTGAATTAGACGTTGCATTTTATATTGAGGGTGACCAATTAAAGAAATATCTTGAACCAAAACACTCGGAAATAGCAATGTGGTTTTTGTTACTGAAATCAGAATAATTTTACATTACTTCGCATTTTAGCAGAGCTACTTCTATCATTGACAATTATCCATAAAATTTTCCAATTCAAATAGAACTAGCAACCCATCATCGCTGTATTGCCTTAAAACAAACCTAAGATATTAATCCTGTGAAATGAGGTTCGGACTTCCACTAGACCAGATAATAGCTGCAATCATCTTTGGAACATTTCTCAACAACCACTGTTGCGTGCATTTTAGTTTGTCAAGTTTACTAACCTGTTCAAAAATCAATTATTTTCCGTTAAAAAACTTTATATTGAAGTGTGTACTCGTTTTTCATGCATTTGCAAATAGTATGATAAAGATATTTCCAAGAGGTGGCCAAAATATTAAAAGTTCATGAAATGCAAAATAGGTATTATTATTTTACGAAAGCATTACAAACCGTAATAGAAAATCCTAGTTATGTTGAAATTACAAATTTACAAATGCATATTTTTCATATTGTAAATTTGTAATTTCAAATAATGTTTCTTTAAAATTCTAATTTTTTTGTGTAATTTGTTCTTCCTTTTATTCAATTTGTTCATTAAAAATTTACAATGTATATTTTTCTATTATACAATTTGTAATTTAATTATTTTTCTTACTTTGTGTAGCAGTGAAGATGGTCGCAATGCGGCCGGATAACCTTTAAATAACCTTTATGGTGAATTGAACAAATATGACAAAGCTACGCCTCTCAATTATTGTTATATTTTTCCTACTCGCCGGGAGTTTAAAAATGTGTACATCAACAAATTGAGATTCTCTTTTCACCTTATCACCATTAAAATGGTGTTTAACCAAGAACTTAACACTATTAAACCAAGTCGTAGCGATGTGTTTTATATTTTAAGTAACACCAAATTACATCGAGAAACTGTAAAACTGAAATTATAGTGGCCCAAAGACTTCCATGCTCTTACTTCATTCTACTTTCGCTCGCAATGATTTTGTTCTTGAACCAAAGGCTACTGATCACAAGTACAGACATATTTTGTTATTAAAATGTCTGATTTTAAAATTATCAGAAAAATGAAATGTTACCCAATTTTGACATAATTTTCGCCGCGTTCATTTTTTTATTCGTATATCAGATTCAATTCATTTTCTGCTGAATTATGAAAGAAACTCCCATAATAATAATCCTCATCCGCCATCCTACGTCCCTGATCTTCTCCGTTCCGCCTACAGTACTGGAGGGACATGCATTTTATTTGCTATTTTGTTTTGTATTTACAGCTCCTCGAAACGGAGTGCCCAGTGCATGCACGTCTCGAATAAAGAAAGGAAGTCAACGGAGCCGGAGACCTCGCGGATCGATGATCATGACAGAGGGGAGCTTTGTAATGTAAGTCAGTTAAGTAATTCCTTTTGTTTATTTTATTCCTGAATTTTAACGATTTTTGCGGAACTTTCGTTCATTAAGTTTATATTGACTGTCTGTCATACTTGTATTAACAAAAACTTCCATTTGTTTTAGAAAATCAGGTTAAGTTTAGAATTCAGTAAATAAAAATTAGGAAAGTTGGTTTATTCACCACTAAGTCTTGACATAGAACGTTTTAGAGATCTGTGCGTCTCCACCTTCAGATACATTTCTTTGGCTAAAATTAAGATTAATAAATAAGTATTAAAAAATGAAATCAATTTTTGTTAATACAAACTTTCGCTTATACCGAGTTTTTGTATCATTTTGATAAGCAACTACTGGCATTCTCCTTTAACAATTAGTTTTGAATGTTCAATATTTGTACTGACAAAAACCTTTTAGAGCACCACATTAAATTACAACACTTAACGCTAACAACATTCCCGTCATGTATTTGTGACCTTATTCGTAATGGAAAATGTAATGTGTTACTGCAAAATATGATCGCTATTTTGTATGTTAATAAATATTGGTCATTCAAACTGTATGCTTTAATAACTAAGACAGACGCAACATTCAAATTCTTCTTTAACTCTTTCCACATTTTGGGCTGCCGCTGGAAATATTTGTGTGCTCTCGGCGTTGAAGCGTTCCGCGAAGTGCCGGAAGTGTTTTCGCCAATGGCGCTTCGCCCGCGTCAGTGTTGCCACTCTGGCGGTGGCGTTCCCCGCGTGCGCATGCATGTCCAGCGGGGGGGGGAGGAGGCGATCCCCAGGGCGTGCACGTAGCGTGCCGAGGGGGGCTATTTCGGGCGCCCCGGCGGTCGCAACGGGCGCGTGTGCCCTCGGAATACCGCCTTATTCCGCATTTATGGAATCCGCGATGCCCCCAGGCGCTGACGCAAGCCACGCGCTTTTTGTTGTCGAGGGGGCTGCTGAAGAGATGGATCATTGTAGAGGAGGCATTCGACAAATCCTCCGTCCTCATGTATAGACGCAGAGTTCGTGGTCATCTTACAGAAAATTGGTACTTGATATTATGTTTGCTTTGTTGGCATGTATGTTCTTGGATATAATTGTTTTGAAATATGCACAAAATGACTTCGAGCTGGTTTAGGAAAGTTCGTATTAAATTTCTTTGTTAAATAAGCGTTGAAGTACGAAAGAAATATTGTGTAAAACATAATCTGTTAGGCAAGGCATAAAGCTGCTCCTTTTTGGTGTCCGCCCCAGCAAGCTGATCCAATTACAAAGAATGGAATCTCGATACCGATTACACTCGTGGATCTCAAGTCAAATAAAAATACTCACAATATTGCCCACTCTATTAAGGACACTTGGAATCGCATGAACAAGATCGTGAAAGAGCAAGGAAATATGTCTTGGAAAGAGTATAAAATAGGTAGTCTGTAGAAAACGATGATTATTACAAACTCCGTGCTTTTTATAAACTCAAAACAAACGAGAAAGGTAATCACAATGATTACGTTGCAGTTTCTCGAAAAGAACCGAATTTCTCACATCTATCAAATAACACAGCAGTCTTAAAGTGTGATTCACTCAAAAGAAGTCAATTTTTCATATCCTTCAGTAACACATCAAACATATCCATGAACGTCAATCAATCTTACAGAATGACAATCTTAAAATGATTTTACACTTTTGTGTTTTTCAGGAAAAAAGTATGTAATATATTTAAAGTGTATAATACGTTATAAGTAAATTTTGCGATATTTTTCTACCAAAATATTTAAGTTCAATATCATTTGATGCATTCACTATTTGCCTTCATCGCTTCTGAGGGATGCTGAAAGATTTTACTATAAATATATGCATTTTAATACTTAAAGCATTTATAATTTAGCCGTATTCAATTAATTTGTGCACTAATTATTTTTTTCTCGTTAAGTGTTGAATCTCTGCTGAAGTTTTAAAAATGTAGTACTTGTCATGAGTGTATCAGTTTAAAAGCTTTCCATTTTCAGAATTTTATTGTATTTCCCTATCTTTGAATTTTACGTTAAAAATACTTTCTGTAATTGTATGGGCTATAGTAATATGAAAACGAGCCACAAAATACTTAGTAGTCACTCCATTTCTTATCATTAACAGACTTCCACATGAATTTGGTTCAGAAAGGTCACATATTTTATTAAATTACTACATATTTGGGATAATTCGGTTCATTTTTCTCAACTCCTTTACTAGTTATAACGTATTTTGTGTTAGAGAGAGAGAGTCCCCGTAAAGTAATATTTTTCACTTTTCTTGAATGCAAAATTAGTGACAAACGAAAAACCATATTGAAGGGTTCTGTACACAATCAACGTTTTGGAATTGAAAAATACTGGCCACACTGCCCCGCTTTCCACTACAATATAAAATTGGAAAGGAATGGATTAGAATGATTTCCGCCAGATGCATTCCCACTAGGCAACCTACCACCGTCCTTTTCACAAAGTGTCGAGATCCAACGAGTTCCGAGTAAAAAGCGATTAATGTTTCGCTTGGTGAATACTCACATCTCATCTTTCGTCGAAGAGAATGAAAAACTGGCAAGCAGTTGATATCGTAGATTGAGCGCAGTGCCCCAAAATTTCGTCCGCTTCCCCGAAGAGTCGGTAGTTCATTTCCGGTTGGGCGCCCGTCTCCCCGCCCGAGCACGCGTCTCGCCCGGGGCGGGGGCGGAGGGGGCGGGGAGAGGGTTAAAAATAAGCGAATCGAGCGTGAGAGCTTCCGCCGCAAATACCTACACCAGGGCAGCCGCCCAACCCCCGGCGGAAGGCATCTTGGCGAGGCCGTGCCCCGCCCCCGCCCTCTCCACAGTCTGGCACAGTGGGTGTCCGAAATGAATCTGGTACCTACAGAACAACTCTTCGTAAATAGATATGTGACAACAAATGCCGTTATGTTTCGTTTTTTACAACTAAAAATACCTCCAGCGATTTTTTTTTTATTTTTCGTACTTTCTTATGCCCGCACACGCTCCAAAAACTTAACAAAACTTTGGTTCGTGTTTGAAGTAAATAAATGATTTCGTTTTATATGTACCCAAATATATACGAGTGGTGAGAAGAGTTTATTATACCTTTTTTTCAGAATTATTTATTTTAGACAAACCAGTACAGATACTACATCACAGCACTGAAAGTACTTTTCATGATTCTATTCCATCTCGTATCAATGTAAATGCTAGAAAAGGGGTGATAAATTTGAGACAAATAGCGTGTTCGTGCGAGAAATCTTGCATGTGGAATCCCGACACCCTTAATTTATTACTCCCTATCTATCTGGACAGTTTCTTCAACAGATATGAGTTAAGATTGGTCGTATGTGAGCGCTTCAAAACCTCTCCATACTACACAAGGAATATAGACGATTAATATGGATCACAGTAGTTGTTTAAAATAAGCCACGAAGGACAAGCGGTTTGCTGTTGAGTTAACATATTTGACGTTTGCGTGTATCTAGTTGTCAATCGCTCTGGCATCTGCCTAGCTTTTCTCGAAATCTTTAACATAATTTCCTACATTCCCGCGATTCTATCGTGCATTTTGAGCAACTGGAGCAAGATAGAAAATTAAGGATTTTTCTATTTTATTAATTATGGTTTAAGGATATGCTGCCAATAAATATGTTTCTGATAGAACGTGTTCGTAAGCAATAAAAAAATTAAAAATTGGCCTGGTCATCAAATGTATGTGGTGGCTGGTGGCGATGGTAGGACATCTGGAGGCACAATTCGGTAGTTTTCGCGGCGTGCAATAAAATTTTGCAGTTTGCGTGAAGGGGCTATAATTCTTCCTGCTATCAATGCTACTTTGCCCGGACGTCCGCAGTGCGCAGGCTCCCTGCACAATCGCACGCTTCGTAACTCGAGAGCTGCGGAGGCAGGAGGATTAAATACCGACGCGCGCTTGGGACGTACAACGTTTGTGATGGGGAAAAGCTACAGGATTTAATTGAATATTTGTTCTTATTTTGCGTAGCACTGACGATGGTCGCAATGCGACTGAATAACCTTTATGCTGGGTTGAACTAATATGACAAAGCTACGCCTCGCGATTACTGTTATATTTCTCCAATTCGTCAGGATTTTAAAAATGTTGACATTAACAAATTCAGAATTCTCTGTTCACCTTAGCATCATTAAAATGGTGCTTAACCAAGAACTTAATGCTATTAAACCAAGTCGTAGTGATGTGTTTTATATATTAACACCAAATTACATCGAGAAACTGTAAAAGTGAAGTTATAGTGGCTCAAAGTGTTTCATTCAAAGACCCTGTCAGGTTCAACTATATCCACTAGGAATACGGTGGACCTAATTTGCTATATACACGTTGTTGCATTCCGAGAACATAGTAGACTGTTATCGGATGAACTAAATTCGATTCGTTCGTGGCAACTATTGCAAATAGCCCAAAATTTCACATGATGTCCTCTTCAGGGTCTCCCTAAATTCACTTACAATTCCCTAGAAGACCGCGAACTACAGTTTGAGAACCTATTACTGGTAATAAAGTACATTTTGAGGCCAAAAACTTATATTTAATATTAAATCAAATTGTGAACTACTATTCATTAAAATGAATTATTAATATAGAATTTTCATTTCGTTCCGTCATTATTGACATGTTATCACTAGTTATTCTTTATTTTGTGGCCTTATTTGTGGAACATATCTCATATTTTAGAGATATATAAATACAAAAACAAAAATGTGAGGCTATCGACTCTGTTCACAATGATATATAGCAAAAATATGGCAAATGTTTCGAAAGTTCTATAAATATGAAAAGATTTCTATCGTCTGTGGTGCCAATTTTTTGTAATTCGGTCGCCCCTCTTATAAATATTTTCATTTTCACCGGATTTATTAAATCGTAAAAATTCCTTTAAATAAGGCTCCCTAGCGGCACTAACTACATTTATTAATGAAAAACGAATAAACGGTTGTACGTGTAACTCTTATGTTTGTTGGGCAACACTTTAATGAGGTAGGGTAAGCCCTAGCGCTTAGATCTTTGAGCATTCCCTCTTCCAATTAGGTCTAGATAATGAAACATTTTGAAACTATATTAACGTATATAAATAAATGCCAATCATATGTATTAATTAGACTTACATCTTGAAATTTACGAACTTAGAACTATTTTGAGTGCATTAAACGATGAATGGACACTTTTCCAGTTATTGTGGGGTTGTAGTAAGTGATTTGGTACTTTCGTCTTTGATTTATTGAAAACTTTGCGGTGCCTAAACTACTCGTACGTTAATATCCCAATGGGTAATCTCCGATGGGTGAAGAGTAATGCGTATTGTCCATTCGGGTTGAATTTGAACGTTTATCTTCATTAACTCCGCATGCACGCCACCCCACTGCAGTGACTTGGCCTCTACTGCATCGATTGTTCCCACACTGACCTCCATTCCTTCGCATACACTCTCGTTACCGCGTGAGATCCCGTTAGTCCGCAGTATCGCTTCTAGAAATATCGTTGGCTTCAGTGGCTATCATCGTGTTAGGAACATTTGTCATCACTTCCCTTTATCGCTTGTTATTGCGAAGGAATAGAGCTCTATGTAGTTCTTTAATTACTTTCGATCATTTAACTGAAACGCTATTGTAAACGCTACTTTCCTTTAATTCCAAAAGTAATAAATCCTGCATGATTTTAATAAACACACACGAAGAATACACGCAAGCAAAAAATAATTATTCAATTATGAAATGGGCGACTCTCTCCGTAACTTTCATGTCTTGTATCATCTCTGTTTTGCCAAATGTTTTATAAACACTAGTGTCAGAAGTATCTAAAAGAAAATGGTGGGGTATTTCTAGAAATAATGTCCTAAACTAAATTCTATGTCAAATTTAAAACCTATAATTTGTGTCGTGTATTTCAATGTGCAATACTTTTTAAGATTATTAACTATTTCTTATCATTCTTCCTCTTATGTTGTAACATTTGCTGTAATAATTTCTTGCAGAGTGATGGCATTTGAGTTATATTTAATATTACTTAAATTAGTACAAAATATCAAATTAAAATAAAAAGAACAAAACTATTTTCATGCATGAATTTAATTTTTTTATCCAGTACTTTGTGATTTAAAGTAATTTTAGAAAAATTATTCTATAGATAATTATAGTTTAGGGAGGAAACGTAAAAATTAAGGAAGATATTTTAAGACGTTATCGCATGTATAGATTAACTTCACTTCAAGTAAAAGAAGGCTAAAACTAATCAAATTTTCAGAAAATTGCACATGGCTTATTTAAGGATATAATTTGCTAAGGCATCTGCCGTCCTAGCCACTCAGTCGTGACCCCGCCCCCGCCCCCGCGATTCGATGCTCAGATCGCGCCAGTGGTGCTCTGAAGAGACGGCTCTCATTCACGACGTGTGGGCGGGGTAAGGGCACCGTTTGGAAATTAATGCTATTTTTTAAAAACACATATTTCTTCATACTTAATTTTGAAGATGTTTCTTTCACTTTCTTTGTGGAGATCAGAATGCTCATTGCCGGTCCGGATGGACGAGACCAGTAAGGCAGTAGTGTTCTGGTGATCTCGGGCCGAATGGTCGCGGGTTCGAGTCCCGCCTCGGGCATGGTTGTATTGTATTCGTCCTTTCTCACTCCTGTCATCATCATATTGTGTCATATTCATAGTTACCATGCCGTTACACGCAATAGTGGTCGCTAATGACCTAGTAGTTGAGGCGACCTTAAAATAACAAAAAAAAAAAGGCCCATCAAAATGCTCATGCTCAGCCAACTAAAATGAAATAAATCTGTAGCTCTTCTAATTGGCAACAACTCTTTGTTAGGGAACAATGGTAAACGAATCGCAAAGAACAAACAAACTTATTAAATAAAGTCGTAGGCTTCCGCGGCGAGAATCATGTGGGTGATCTGGGCTGTCCGGGTGACGCCGCGTTGAAGGCTGTGTTGCCAACTTGCAGAATGTTTTGGTAGGCAACACAGCCCAGATCACCCAAACAAACTTATTGTAAGAGAATATTATGAAACGCGGTGTTTGCGTGGCAGTGTAGTGTCAATTCGTTGCGTTGCAAAGATGCTCGTCGGATGTTTTCGCAGGTGCCATGCACGTTCTCGCGCGGAGTCTCAACAGCGAATAAGGGGCGGTAACGTGCCGAATTTGTTCTCTGCAAGATCAGGCCTCCTTCCTTCCCTTAAAGATCACGTGAGTTAACAATGGTTTTAAAGCTGCGTAAAATTAAATGTGTGACTGCGATGGCGGTAAGCAGTTAATTAGTTCACAAGTAAACATCCAGTGCAAAAACGTTCACTCGGCGAAATGTTTATTTGTATAAATGTCCACTTCAGTATTGGCTCAATACTGTTTCATATAAGTTATTTTTATGTCAATTGCAAAAATGTCCAATACCTAAATAACCAGTAACATACAATGTCCACTACAATGAACGATCAGAGAAATGATACGTATAACAGCGTTTTATTGATAAAATTATTTTCGAAACAACTCCAATACATTTGATTTGGAAAAAACAAAAACGTTCGATGCCCAGGAGCTTCAAATTTTGAAGAGTAATCAAAAAGTTCTATGTTCCGGACATGGATCATATTATTTTAACATTAATAGTTAAAGGACACTCTACAGACGTCACAGAGGTCACGGACAACTAAATTTAATGCGTAGAAAGTTGAATTTATATTTTAAGCACAGTTTCCTATCATTCACTCCAAACCGGCAAAATGTGACATGGAACCTTCTTGTTTTTACTGATTCATTTTTTCCACTTTTCGTCAGTAATGGAAGTGGTGTGTACATTACTCACTAGAATTTTCTTCCTCTGTGAAAAAATGTAAGGAGCCTTAACGAATTATCTCAAAAATTGTTTTGAATTTATACATCAAAAAATGTATATTATTAACATGCTAAAAATGGAACATGAATGTTGTAATGAGCAGAACTTGACATTACTCATTTTGTACATTTCTTCTAGTTTAACATTTTGATGTGGGAGTAGTGCCCTGAACAACGGGCCACGCACCATGCCGGTGCCTTCCTTCCTCATCCAACCCTCATTCCCCTCCTCATTCCTCCACTGAGGAGATCTAGAATCAGAGATTCGAGCGGTGAACTGCTGTCTATCCCATTAAATGTGACGCGAGGCGGGATAATCGTAACATTAGAATGGTAAAATAAAATGTTGAACTGTATCCCATGTCGTTTAAACATGGCGACATTTCTGAGCTATAATCATAGATCGTATTTTGAAATCTCTGAATTTTTGAAAATTGCAAAATTTATTCATACATTTAGGCGTCTTGAAACTACTACAACATTTAAGGGAGATAGTTTTTCCTTACTAATATGGTTACGTAAAATATTTCGAAACTATGAGTAGTTTTCGTATAATTGCATATAAAATATAAGTAATTTTTAAACAAGTATTTTCTGGACAAGGGCTCCAAATTATTTATTAAATTTTATCCTACAATGAAGCAAAGAACATTGGAAAAAAGTGGTACTGGTTCCATTTTCGGCGAATTACTGTATTCCGATAATTGAAAAAAATAATATTATACAATATCAATATTGATAGAATTTTGATACAGTTTTTGTTGATAGATCTTCCGAGGTCATGTACAATTTTTTGAAAACTGTAATTTTTGCGAAATGTCAGTTTGAAGTGAAAGCAATTAATAAAGAATGTTTTTTATCAAAAACGACCTAATTGTTCTTTAATTTCTTGCCTCGGAGCTAATAAGATGATAAAAATGGTACATTTTGGTTGAATTTTCAGATTTTTTGAAAATCACAAAAGTTAAAAATAATGCGTGGAATTATGTGCTGTTCACTACTAGTTGTTTTTTTTAATTTCAATGAACTTGTTTATCGCAGAATTGGGATTGCTGTAAATACTGATTAGTCAAAATTAATCTCGATACAAGATAAAGTGTGCATATGAAACGAATGGGAATTAATTTCCGTTGGCAAGCGTATTTTGTGCAAGAGTAGCTGTCCGTAATGTGGTGCGGTGACATTTCGCTGCCCCCGAAACGTCCCGGCCCTGTGGCCTGATTGAGCCGCTGGGCTTTGACTGCCTTGGGGCGGTGCAGCGGCGCGCCTCATTAGCAAAAGGCCGGCGAAGGGGCGAAGGCAAAGGCCTGTTCGCTGCAGCGCCGCTGACCTTCCGCAAAAGGCGCCTCCGCTGCAGTCTCTTCGCGCTTGTTATGATGAGCTTAAAAAATCTATAGGTTCCGTTTAAAAAACCGAAGTTGGGTCAATATCTCTGCAATACAAAATGCAGTAGAATAATATTATGCATGACCAAATGTGCTCTTTGTATATAGTAGTTTTAGTGAAAACCGCATCTCAGTATCTGCAACGGTTCAGGATAAAATTGAAGGGAACATCTTAGGTGGGCACCACGGTGTAGTGTTATAGAAGAAGTGTTTACCAGTCACCAGTTAGCTGTCTGAAAGGACACTGCGAGTACCAGTAGCCACTAAAGATGTCTGCCGCAGTCGCAGATGATATGTATGGGCACAGAATATCCAATAGCTCACGGCTATCCAGCCAGGAAGGAATTATTAATAATGTATCCAGCCGTAAAAGCCTACATTGTTTTATTAAAGTGCAATTTATTAACGGGCATGTTAGTTAATTATTACATTAATAGGTTAATTACGAATACTTTAAATGTTTTCTTTTGAAGTTTGTTGAAAACTCAGAAGTATTTTGTGAATATGAGCTCAAAATTGCACATTTCCAGAAACGCTGAATAAGTTATTTTGTCAAAAACGATTCCAAATTTTGCAATAAAAATTTGCATATAGCATATTTTACTCTTCTATAATATTCTTCACGTCTAATTTCCATTCTACTGTTAAGGAAACTTTTTTACACTATTGCTAAGGATATGCTTGCACGGGATAATGGTTTCAGAAAATTTCAGATCCGTAGATTCAATATTATAAAGCATATTAAACGTGATCTTGTATGTATTGTATGAAGCTTTTAGTTATATTATTGGTTTTATTGAAATTATTTATAGTATATAAAAAGTGTAACACGTTTACAATTATTTCGGTCAAGTGATTCGGCTTCTTGAGACAGCAGCTCGGGAGTAGTATTGCAGAAGAACTAGGATACTAAGGCTGTGGGTTTGAAATCCACGAGAGATCTGTTGTCAATCGTGGTTAAGGTGTGCGGGGCATTCTAAACGTTGTTTCAGAGCAATATAACAAACGCCGAGGTGAAACCACGCAACACCACGCGCAAATATGTGAAGTAGGACCGAGATAGGTCTATACGACGCTCAGGGTGTGCGAAGTGTTCTTCACCACCCCCAAGAGGAGAGGAGCGGTTGGTACTGTGACAGATCCTGGTAGTCTTTTAGACGTAATATTTTCCTTATTTTTCACTGAATTAT